ATAGCTTCCAGGAGAATCGCCCATGGTCATGTTATCCAGGCTGCAGATAGAAAGCTCAATTTATGTAACTACAAATAAATGGCGTGGGAGCAGATCGGTGGCGACCGCTTCTCTCCACCGATTACGGTGCCGGCCGGTTGGGATCTCAGAGGCCTCCTGGACTGACTGCCACGCCGGGCCTCCCTTGCCCTTGGCCGGCGATGGCTGGGAGACGGCTCTCCTGGCTCGTCTGCCTGGGAAGCGCTTCCCTGTTAGCTGCACAGACAACCCCCCTACCCCGCGTCAGCCCCAGCTCCTTTACACTCGTCGGGCACGGATGTGTCCCCGCGCCGCGACCGGGGACTGCGGACTGCTCAGTGACTGAAGAACCCTGCGCAGCCCGTGCGAGGGGCGCGGGTGGAAACGTTTAAAGAAGCAAATCACCAGCCACCAGACTCAAGGCAGGCTCCCTTCGCTTGCCCAGAGCTGGGCTTATATTCTTAGCTGGGTTTAAATATTGAGCCCTATTTGGTAACAAGAAGCAAGGGAAACACATTCTGGTTGGTAGGTAGGAACCCAGCTCCAGGAGAGCGGTGAGAAAAACGTCTTTATGTAAAGACAGCTCGGCTGATTAGAAACCCGCCTGCACGTGCCTGCCTGCTCCAGGCTGATCGTCAACGAGTATTTCTGTGAATATTATCACATATAACCCAGTGCATTTGTGTCTTTTCAGCCAGATAAGTAGGAAACCAATGGCTCAAGAACACGCGATTAAGGAGGCCTTACTGAAAGCCTTGCTCTGTCTGGCCTTTTCGTTTTAAAACCCCGCCACCGAAGGCAGGAGGAAAGAGAGAAGCCCAGAAACGAAAGAAAGGATTCGGCACCCGCGGGACTCGGCCCAGTTGGCTGACGTGGGCCCAGAAAGGCTGAGGCCTTGCCGGCAGTATCTGGATTCTCCTTGGCCCAAGCGGAGGGGCAGGGCGCCCTGCCAGGACCATGTGGACCTGCGCTGGACAAAACCCAAGCAGGGATGAGCCTGTGGCGTGGGTTCCCAGCCCTCATGGCTGGGATTGCGTTCCTTCCCGCGCTCCCCTGCTCCCTGAACTCTATCCCTACTTGGTCTGGGTCGTCTTACTTCGGGGCAGGTTTTACTTTAAACGCCATCGCTGTTGGCCGCTCCAGCCGCCCGAGTCTAGACGGACGGCGGCGGCGGCGGCGGCGGCGGGGCCGGGTCTTTCTCTTTGCATCTTGCTCTGTGTCACCCAGGGAACAATTTATTGGTCTAAAGCTGTCTAATTCCGCCTCTTTGATCTCCTAGCTTTCTTGCTTGCTTCGTCTTCCTTTAATATTTTTAGGTTTTTATTTCGGGCAAGAAAGCGATGCTATTTGGAATATTTAGTTTTTCTTCCCTTCCCATGTTACAGCCTCCATTCCCCAACTAAGACATACTATCATCCTGATCCTCCATAAAGAGCATCCCCGGATATTGCCCCCCCCCCACAGCCCCTGTGCCCCCAGGGGAAACCAGCAGGCGCCCACCTGCCCGGACAGCTCCCCGCCTCTCCACCCACGCCCCTGGGCAGTCCACTAGGCAGGAACTGGGGCTCCGTTGCATCCGGGTCTGAACCCTCTTGCTGCCTTTTGTGCTCCTGGGACCCCCTGAGAGGGTGCAGTGAACGGGGGCGGCCTGGACTCTCTGAAAGTGATGGGAAGTGCTTTGTACACAAGGAACCAAACTCTATAATTTAGAGGAGAATTTCCGGGGCAATTCCATTGTGAGGTCGGGTTTATGGTGTGCAATCGAGCTAAGCAGTAAAAGGCATACTGACCTGGCGCCTGGGCTTCCAGCGCGGCCTGAGCAGTTTATGAGGCGTTTAGGGGAAGGGTTCGCCCCACCACACTCCACCAAGCGGTGGGCGGCAGGGGCTTGGGCTGGTCCAACCCTGCGCAGGGGTTGGAGGCTTGGAAAGGTAAGCTCCACGCGTTGGGGGCCTGGATGGGAAGGAGGGAGACTATAATGTGTTCTGCTCTCTGTGAGCCAGTCTTGGAAATGTGAAGCCGCCAGAACTGGGTGGTCTTTCTAGAGGGGTCCCCCTATTTGGGGGGTCTCCAAAAGAATAGCGGGCTGAAGCCCCCAGGCACCTGGGCCCCTTTCTCTCCTCTCAAACTGGCTCTAAAGTATGTGTTGCTTTCTCCCAGGCACTCAAGTCCATGAGGAGCTGGCAGAGGCCCGTGGGTGGCCCCGGTGAAGGCTTCCAGAAAAGTCCCAGCGCTAGGGGTACCTGGAAAGGTGTGGGGTCTGAGGTTCCTCCAACCTTGGGGGAAAGAGACTTGGTTCCCCTTGAGCGAGGGGGAACCAGAGTCTGCAAGGAGGACAAAAGAGTGTCCAGCTATTTCGTAGGCTGCCAGAGGCCAGCCAGGTGCCCAGGAGCGAATGCACAGAGCCTGCCAGGACAGCGGTGTCCAGGAGGAGGGAGGGGAACCCCACATTAATAAATCTGTTGGCAAATGAGGCTCATTAATAGTTAAATATTTCACTGCTTCCTTTAAGGCGGATAAACAGTGTGCCGCCGATTAAGGAAAGGAAGCTGGGAGACGTTGACTTTATTCGAACCACATGGTTCCAGTTTGCGGTGGCGTTCTCGCTGCAGCTGGAAGCGACGCTGCGCCGGCCCCATCTGGATCATAGTCTAAGTGGGCCTATCGCCCAGTGGACCTGGGTGGGGGGCGGGGGGAGAAGGGGGCAAAGAACCGATTTGCCGGGAGCTGAGACTTGCCCGTGGGCTGCCGCGGGGCGGGCGGGTGCGCAGAGTGTAGACAACCTCCCTAGGCTGGGTCCCCAGGACAGGGGTCGGGAGGGCCTGCAGGCTTGGTCCAGAGTTCGGTAATAGGCTAACGGAGGCTGTGCCCGGCCAACCCCGCGCAGCCTCTGCAGGCCAGGGGTCCACGCTGCGGGGGGCTGAGCCCTCGCACGGAGCCTCGGGGTCCTTTTCCCGCGGGACGCGCCAGGCCGGCCGGGCGCAGGCAGATTCGTTGGCCACATATTTGAGCCTCTTCCCCTTCCATTCTAGGCTGCCGCGGGCCCCGCGGAGCAAGACCACCTGTGAGGGCTGCTGAGATTGGCGGAGGCGGTCATGTGGGCGGTCACGTGCTGCGGCGAGCTCCGTCCAAAAGAAAATGGGGTTTGGTGTAAATCTGGGGGTGTAATGTTATCATATATCACGCTACCTCGTAAAACCGACACTGAAAGCTGCCGGACAACAAATCACAGGTCAAAATTATGAGTTCTTCGTATTATGTGAATGCGCTTTTTAGCAAATATACGGCGGGGGCTTCTCTGTTCCAAAATGCCGAGCCGACTTCTTGCTCCTTTGCGCCCAACTCGCAGAGAAGCGGCTACGGGGCGGGCGCCGGCGCCTTCGCTTCCACCGTACCGGGCTTGTACAATGTCAACAGCCCCCTCTATCAGAGCCCCTTCGCGTCCGGGTACGGCCTGGGCGCCGACGCCTACGGCAACCTGCCCTGCGCCTCCTACGACCAAAACATCCCCGGGCTCTGCAGTGACCTCGCCAAAGGCGCTTGCGACAAGGCGGACGAAGGCGCGCTGCACGGCCCGGCCGAGGCCAATTTCCGCATCTACCCCTGGATGCGGTCTTCAGGTAGGCGAAGCAGCTAGGCTGGCCGGGTGGACTGGCGGGCGGACAGGCAGCGGGGAGCGCGGGGCTGGGGAGCGCGGAGCGCAGAGCGCAGAGAGAGGCGACTGTGAGCCGGCGGCCCCGTGACTCCTGGCGGCGCTGCCTTTCTGGTTTTAATTAGAGTCAAGGCGCCATAGCGTGGAGAGCCCGTAGCATTGTATGTAAATGAGGCTCATAAAACTTTTTATGACCCAATTAATGGGTGCGATCCTCGTAAATTTATTTAACTCCATTTGCCTTGGAATTTTAATATTTTGTTCGCTATTCTCTTTCTCTCTCCCTTTCTTTTCTCCCTCCCTCCTCCTTTTCCTTTTGGCCCGGCTTTTCTATTTCAAAAGCAGGAAGAGCCAAACCCTTCATCAGGGCCCCTCTTACGCCCCTGTGCCAGGGGCCAGTTAAAGGAGGGGTGGGAAACGAGAGCGGGGACAGGGGGTCGGAGTGCCCACGGAAGGTCCGGGGATGGGGGCGCGGTCTTCTAGGGAGGAAAGGCGCCCCTGGAGTGCGGACCGCCCGAGGGTCACCCACTTGCCTAGCAAGGGGCGGGGGAAGCGGCCCAGCTCCCCTTTGAATGGCAAAAGCGCAGCGTCTCCCACTTGCCCACACTCTATATTTACAATTTCCCTTTGTCAGGGGGAAGCAGGACATTGTGGAAGCCTAGCCGGCTGGAAAGGGCGGTTGTAAAGTTGGGATTCTGCGCCTTTCCTCCTCACAGAGCTGCCTGCCCGTCTGGCACCGCAGTTGGGGTCTTCCGCTAACGCTCCCGCTCCTCCCCCAGCTTCGTTCGGGGGGCGCGGGCCTAGGGGGGACGCGCGCCCAGGTCAGCGCTGGGAGAAAGGTGCAGGCTCTGGGACGGCGGCCTGGCTAATGCACTGTCCCGTCTGTGTCTCTGTTGGTTTGTCTGTCCATGTGTCCATGTGTCCGCGTGTCTGCTCCCAGGGCCCGACAGGAAGCGGGGCCGCCAGACCTACACGCGCTACCAGACGCTGGAGCTGGAGAAGGAGTTCCACTTCAACCGCTACCTGACGCGGCGCCGCCGCATCGAGATCGCCCACGCGCTCTGCCTCACCGAGCGCCAGATCAAGATCTGGTTCCAGAACCGCCGCATGAAGTGGAAGAAAGAGCATAAGGATGAGGGTCCGGCCGCAGCCCCCGAGGGCGCCGTGCCCGCCGCCGCCGCCGCCGCTGCCGCCGCCGCCGCCGCCGACAAGGCTGACAAGGCCGATGATGAGGACGAAGACGAAGAAGATGACGACGAAGAGGAGGAGGAATGAGGGGCCAAGTCGGGGCCCTGGCTGCACCAGACAGTCGGGAAAAGCGTCTTTAGAGACTCATTGATTTTATTTACAAAAGTGGAAAAAATAAAAAGAAACGTTAAAAAAAAAAACAAAAAACAACCCAGTCCCCAACCTGCACCCATCTGCCCCATTACCCACTCCAGCTCCCATCTTTTCTGGACCGAGCAGCCGCCTAGACTGGGTCCCCTTGGGGATCTCTCTGCCCCCAAGGATCCCCAGCAGACACCCTCCCTAACCCCAGTCCGACCAGCTCTGCGCTGGCACGGCGAAAATACTACCTAGCACAGGCCTCGGCCAGAGGCACCCCAAACTACCTATGGGCCCAGCCCCGGTAGGCCTCCACTCCCAGGAAGCCCAGACGTGTCCCAACACTGGCAGACACCCAGCATCTCCTCCATACCGGCAAGGACCTGATTTTCTCAGTACTACCTACTCCTCCCAAACTACCTATTTTGTGCTCACTGGCTCGCCTGCTACCTAGTGTCGGCCCCTTCCCCCGTCAGGCCCCTCCTGCTTCTGCCTGGCAGCCTTTGGGGTCCCTGAGGCTGCATGGAGAAGGTGCTGGGGTCCGGGGACCAGGGTATTGGCTTCTATTTAAATTGAAAAATAATATATTTATTCCAAAGCATTCTAAGTGCTGCAACCTAGAATCCCTCCTTCTCTGGCCTGGGCCCCTGAAGTTCAGGCCCATTACCCCTACTTCTGGAGGGGAGCATTCCCAAGCTAGCTGCAGATCTCTGGGTTAGCTTCTGCTTAGTAGGACTGCAGAGATGCTCCCAGCCTCCCTGCACCTCCCCTGGCCCCTATGTCCTACTGTCCAGCCATGTTGAATATGTACACCCTGACTTTTCCTACAATAGCAAATATTGTATATTTGAACAAGACTTTTTTTTTGTCATTTATATAGTCTTGGAGCTCATTTGTAAGGCAATGTCTTGATTTGGGAAGGATGTGTTAATGGGGTGACTTTGTAGCATGGTGTGTTGTCTTGAGCTAACTTTATAGCTGGTGGGGAGGGCCGATGCCCTTCCCAATGCCCTTCATCTCTTGTGTTGTCCTGCGTCCCCCTTGTCCCTGTAGGCTCTAGCTTGGGGTTCCAGGAATGGGAAGGCACACTTCCTGTCTTGCCCAGCTAACCGTGTTTTATGTAACAGAAAAATAAAGATGCTTGGTGACAAAAAAATGTGGACTGCTTTATACAGGGGGGCCTGGGAAAGAGAGGGAAACCTGGCTGGGGTTAGCCTAGCCACAGTTTGCTATGTCTGGATGCCCACAGGGGCTTTGGGGAAGCAAAAGTGGAAGGACAAATAAGGTCCAAGTGTTGAGTGTCCATGTATTGGTGTATGTGTGTGTCGAGTCCCTTTTTGTGTGGATTCTAAGGTGTGGATTTGTATAGGTATGTGTGTACCTCTTTTGTATGTGTATTTTATATACGTCTGTGTGTATTACTACCCAAGTCAGTGATTTTATGTAATTCTGTGTCCAAAATTGAGTGCATGTGTTTCTGGTGTAAATAGTTGCATGTATTTCTGTGTCCATAATTGAGTGTGTGCATTTCTGTGTGTCCATAATTATATATGTGCATTTCTCTGGAGATTTTCATCTTGGTTTTGTGTGTGTGCACAAACATCTTCCAGATCTCTTGAAAATGGAATCTTCAATGATACATTATATTCTATGAATCTCCCTTAAAAAAAAAAACAACCCTCCACAAATTCCATGAGCGAATCCAAAATCCACCCTTTCCTGTACGGCTGTGGGGTGGGCACACCACCCTGCCAAGATCCCGAATTTTCCATGAGTCCTGAACACGGCCCCATGCTAGGAGGTGGGATTCAGGACCTCTGACGCAGCCCCCCTCCCACCCTGCATTCAGGCAAAGCAAGGGCGCCCAGGCACAGCACTGCAAATGAGGGATATGGGAAGGGGCAGGGGCCCCGCAGACCCGGGCTGCCGAGCCTTGGCGAGGGCGTCCGGGTGCGGGGAAGGTGGAGGGTCTGGGTAGGGGTGAGGGGCGATGGGGACAGCGCAGAATAGCCTGAGCTCGGCAGGCGAAGACCTCGACTCCAGTGTCCTGCCTAGGTTGGGCCCGCTTCTTATTGCTCTTTTAATAAAACCCAGCCCAACTGGGTTTGTTAAACCTGCGGCCCCAAGTCGGGGCGGCCTCGGTGGTAAGATGGCGCCGGTGTAAGAGCTGCCTCCTCTTAGTGATGGGGAAAGGGTCATAAATCCGTTGTTGTTTATGAAAATTTACAACTTTGCAATACAACTTTATGAGTTGTTCGGCCCTTCCATTGGCCGCTGTCGGTCATGTGGATGGGAACCGTGAACATGAACTTTTTTATAATTTCCCTTGCGAGAATAGAGCCGCATTCTTTTGCTCCGCTCCGTCCTGCCTGCTTCGGAGCTCTGCCTTCCAGCTGGCCTTGGCTGCGCTTTGTCCAGCGATGGCGAGCGAGACGAGGCCCTGGCCCGGCCCGACCCCGCCGCTCCCGCTGGAGGTGGGGCGCGTCCAGTTCCCGGCGCCGCGGCGGCCGCTTTGCAACTCGCAACCTGGCTAATTTCCTGCGTCCTCTGGCACCAGGAAGGAGGACGATTCGTCTCCCCGGCTGCCCAAGCGACAGCTGTCAGAGGGGCAGGAGCTTCTGGGAGCCGCCATCTGAAGGTGAGACATGTGGGGAGACAAGAGCAAAGGTGGTGAGATGGCAGCCGGCTCCAGCGGCGGTGGGAGAGGGCACCCAGGGCGGCTTTGAAGAGGGGCATACTCACCCTCGCCCACACTCACCGTTCACACTTGCCCCCATCACACGCGCGTGCACACGCCCGCGCGCGCACACACACACACACACACACTCCCTTTCTCTCTCCTCTCCCTGGTTCACCATGGCAGTAAACCTTCCTTCCGTGGCACAGCGTCCTGGCATGGGGCAGGAGCACTGTGGTCTTCTCTCTCCTCTTCCCCAGCGACCTTGCCGAGCCCCAAAAGAAGTGGCCCTGCACTCAGCGTTCCCAACCAGCCTCTCCGGTTTGGATTTTTTTTTTTTTTTTCCATTCATGACCCAATTGGCTCGACTGAATTCCCCAACACCTGGTGACAGTTCCCAACCTGGGGAGGTGGGAAGAGGTGAGGGCGGAGTGAATTAATTGACATGCGTTTTATTAGTATCAACACAGCACCTTCTGTTCCGAGGGAATCGGTTTCTGGAGAGAAAGGTAGAATGAGGAAAAAACAAACAAAAACTTACTAATTCAGCCAGGTTCCTCTGCTGATTGCCTGCTTTCCCTTCACGCGGTTTTCCGATGACAGAGGTGGTCTGAAGCGCGGGGAGAGGGACTAGGTGCGTGGGTGGTACTCTGTGTTGGAGGAGAGGATGGGGTTAATTGACTGGGTGTTGCTTGGCGGGAAGTTTCGGTGCAGAGAATGTAGTGGTGTTATTGAGTGTGGCAGGGGCCGCAGCTAAGGTTGAAGGAAGGACGCAAACCGAGTCTGGGCGATAGGGGGACCCCCCACCCACCTCGGCGCAGCCGGCTGGCGACCGCACGCCCCACTTTCCGCGAGCGGGGAGAGGACTGTGGAGCCGCCGGGGAGGAGGCACGGAGGGTGCCGGGGGCGTCGGCTTTATGTGGCGCGGTGGCACAGACTGGGTGAGCCTCGGCCAGATTTGCCCCAGGAGCTTCCTGGGACTGCGACCAGAAACGATCCTGAGGTTCTGGGCTCGAGTTCTTTTTGTTTGTTTTGTGGCTTTGGTTGTTGTTTTCCCACCTTAAGATAATACCTTGGTATGCATTCGAAAATTAAGAAGGGGCTGTGGATGTTTGGGACGGCCCCGCGCGCTGTGGGTGCGCTCAGGGCGGATAAAGCCGCGCTTTTGCGTCGTAGGGCCGCGGGCTGCCTGACTGCGGCTGCCGCGGGCAGATTATTTATTGCGACCGCGCCGGGCGCTCGCTGCTGCCACGCTGTGGCCGTCGCCGGGACCGACGCCACCCGCAGCCCCGCGTCGTGCAGCCTGGCGCGACCGCTGCGCGGGCCCCTCAGAGATTCCCAAGCAGGCCGAGGAGAGCCGGGCAAGGGAGGACCCGAGGGGCGGCCTCCCAGGGCCTGTCGGGAGCCTCCCCTGCCTTGGCCACCCCTGACAAGAGCTGGACGCCCGACTAGACTCGGGTCCTCCCCCCACCCCCAGCGCCATGGAGACTGGTTGCACAGGCGGCCTGGCACGTCATGGCTGCTTCTGTCCAAACTGCGCGACCCAAGGCGCCCCCGGGGCGCACGCTGGTGCGGGGAAGGCGCCCGCTTCGGGATTTCGAAATCGGAGAGACCACTGCTGGTCCCGAGGCCTGCAGGCCTGGCTGCCCTTGAGGAGGATTGACTATGGCAAGAAAGGCGGGCTTTGGCGTCAGGCGAGGGCCTGTGACAGGCAGAGGCCGCACCTGTATGCTATGGCCTGGCTACAGATCGAGGCGGCCCGGGTGGCCCTCAAGGTCCCCCCCACCCCCACCCCACGGCAGGCCGCCCTTCAGGCTGGCGGAGGTCGAGGTGGCAGCCCAGGGAAAGGGCGGACTGTGGGGCCCTGCACGCCATCCAGTCCCCTTTGAAGAGGGGCTGAAAGGTAAGTGGACTTTCTCTGTGGCTTTGACCTAGAAGAGAGAGTCCTGGTAGCCATTCTCACTATCCCAGGAGAGGCTCCCTCCAGCGTCTGGGGCTCCTATTCTTGCCTGAGTGTGTGTGTGTGTCTCTCTCACTGTTTCTCTCTCTCTCTCCATATATATATATATATAGGCACCTAATGCTGGTTGGAGAAATAAATTGGGCCATTGCCAACATAAGATGTACCAGACTTGGCTAACACGTAGAGATTTCAATTTATGTTTTTCTATCTCAGCGCCTGTAGAAGCTAGAAATACAATGTTTTTTGGCTCTTAGCTGAGAAATCAAATTCTGTCATTGTCTGGGGGTAATTATTAGATCAAGAATCCAAGTCAAAACATAACAAATAATAACAATAGTAGTATATGGAGTAAACTGCCATCAGTCCCAATACTGTGTGAGACCTGGAGGTATGACACAGAAATTATAAATGTAAACATTTATCAACATCTCCCAACAGTTATTTTTGTCTTACACAATAATAATTTGTTTGAAATCACTGTCTTCTGATGGTCTTGTTTAAGAAACAATAACTCAAACATGATTTTCTTTGGACATAGCTTTTAAAAAATAGTTCCCTTTAGAATTTTTAACTTGAGTTTTCATTTTCAGCTATCGTGTCTATTCTCTGAGGAAATTCGAGGGAAATGTTACATTCTATCCTCTCCTGCCAGGTCCTTCTTTATATATGGAAGGGAGAAACTTTCCCAGCTTGGATTGGTTGGGGCACAGGCAGAAAGCTTCTGGGTGCAGCCCCCATCGCGTGGGGAGAAACCACTTTCAAGGGTGCTCGCTAGGTTCTGTGGAGGCTACCCGTAGCCCAGTCCTTTCCCAGTTTTCCCCCTTTGAGGGAAGTGAGGGCAGGGGGGCGGGGAATCAAAAAGCAAGGAAGAGGTTAAGGAAGTCGTTGGCAGATTCCTAGGAGGGCATAGCCACCCCCCCAAGTCCTGAACCCCATGAGCCTGCATTCACCAGAGTTTTACAGATCTTACAAACATCCTCTGGAAACTCAACCAAATTGTATAAATAGTCTTTCTTCAGCCTCCGCAGAACTGAGGATTTTAAAGCTAATTCAAGGGTTTTACAAGCCCAACAAATACAGTTGTAAAAATGCCATTGGAAAGATATCACATTTTACAAAATGAGATTGATCCATGTGCTGTAAAAGTCAGCTATCTCGAAGGCACACCTAGCAAGCAAGGGAAAGCAACCCAGGACATGCTTTTCACGTCCTGTCTGGGGAAGGCCAGGCCTGGGACCAGGGTGAAAAGCAATGCAGACGGTTCCTGGAGCCGGTGAAGCAGCTATTCCCGGTTTTAGAGCAACTGCAGGTGGCAGGCCCCCGAAGTCCCAGGAAAGGCATGGAAGAGGGTACACCCCAGGAAAGTGCGGGCTGTAGGGTGCCCCACAAACCAAGCACACCAATGATCTCACAGCCTTGGGACATCCCAGCTGCCCTCTCTCCCTGGCTTGGCAGGGACCTTGGGTCGCATGAGGACAGAGATTCCCCATCTGGATCTGTCTCAGCTCTGAGCAGTCCGGGTGTCGGGAGGGCGAGTCCCAAGTGCTGGGCGAGGAGAGCAGGTCCCACGGCCGGCTTCGGAGCTCGGTCTCAAGGCCACTCCTCTGTTGGTCCCTTTCTTGTTGAAACCAGTGGTTTCTGGCCTCTCCGTTCCTGGGTTCAAAGGTGGGACGGGGACGCACAGCTTGTGGGGTGCTGTGAGGCCACGAAGGCGCTGGCCATTGGAGGGGGGAGTCCGTCGGGACTCAAAGGAGACGTGTTGTATGTGGGAGGATGGGGCCGGCGGGGGAAGACGTTTGGCCGCATCGTGGTCAGCTCGAGGTGAGCCTTCCGCGGCAGCGAGGCCCAGGCCCTGGCTGGAGGTGGGGAAGGAGAGCAGGAAGGGATGCACCGATTCCTAAGGTGCAGGAGTGAGGAGCAGGGCGTGAAGGCCTGGGTTCTCAGACCCCTTTCTCCAGTTCTGGAACCCGCACCCACCGGTAGGGGAGTGCAGAGGGAGGGGCAAACTCAGGGCAGGCCGACGGGGAGCAAAGCCTTCGTTGTCACCGCCCCTCCGGGCGCGGGGCTGTCAGGTTTCCTGTTTGGAAAGAAAACCCAGCAAAATCCAACCAGGCAAAAAGGGGAGGAGGAAGGAGCGGGCCTGGCGGGCCCTTTGCGGCGGCCCGGACTCTAGGGCCCCTACCCCGGCCTGATTCGCACGCCCCTACCCGGGCCGTGCCCGCCGCTGGCGTTCGGGAAGAGAGCCGGGCCGGCTGGCTGTGCGCGCCCATTAATCTGCCGGGCGGGCGGCGGGCGGGCGGGCTGGGGGCTGTTTGTAACTTTGCTGCCTCGGTCGCCGCGGTCCCCGGGGAGCGGGCTCCGGCGCTCGCTCCCATTGGCCGCCGCCGCGTCAGCTGGTGCGATTTGCGGCTGTCGCTTTTGGCGTTCGGCCATCCAGAAACAAACCAGTTCGATGACTACTAATAGTTATAGCCAGATGTACTAATACACAACAAATCACAGTCCTGCAGAGGGGCGCGCAAATGAGTTCCTATTTTGTGAATCCCACTTTCCCCGGGAGCCTGCCCAGCGGCCAGGACTCCTTCTTGGGCCAGCTGCCCCTCTACCCGGCCGGCTATGACGCGCTGAGGCCCTTCCCGGCCTCGTACGGGGCGTCGAGCCTCCCGGACAAGACGTGCACCTCACCTTGTTTCTACCAACAGTCCAACTCGGTCCTGGCCTGCAACCGGGCGTCCTACGAGTACGGGGCCTCGTGTTTCTATTCTGATAAGGACCTCAGTGGCGCCTCGCCCTCGGGCAGTGGCAAGCAGAGGGGCCCCGGGGACTACCTGCACTTTGCTCCCGAGCAGCAGTACAAACCCGACAGCAGCAGCGTGCCGGGCAAAGCCCTCCATGACGAAGGCACCGACCGGAAGTACACGAGCCCTGTTTACCCCTGGATGCAGCGGATGAACTCCTGCGCGGGTAAGGCATTTCCCTGCAGCCCCCGCAAGAGACTAGAGGGAGAGGGGGAAAGGGGCAGGGAAAGGAGGAAGGAAGGAGGAGACAGAGAAAGTAGAAAGAGGAAATAGAAAGCAAGGAGGAGAGAATGAACAAAGTTTCTTTGGCTTTTTTAAGAGATTAAAAAGCAAATACAAAAACCAGCCCATTCCCAGTGAGGCAATCAAGCTGTGGCAGAGTGAAGGCACTTGTATCCATGTAAGGTGACACCTTAGGGGATCGAGAGGGGTCACTACCACTCTATGTGAGACTCTGTGACAGGGGCAACCTGAACACACAGCTAGGCTGCATGGGAGGGAGTGCCTGCCCACACTTCCCCCTCGTAACACCCTGCTCAGATCCCCAAGCAGAGATGGCCTTCTGCAACCATCACTGGTAACTCCCCTTTACTCCCCAACCCCTCTCCTTTCTGCCTTTCAGAAACCTATATAGATAGAGGCTCTCATTTGGCCTCTCCTAGTGTCTCCCTAAAGCCTTGGAGGGCCACATCCCCAGCCTCAGGATTTTTTCTTTCTCCTCCCTTCCCTCCTCCCCCTTCCACTCAATTGCTCCCTCTTAGCCAACTTCTGCCTCCTTTTGAGGCCCTGCCTGAGTCTCACACACCCAGCTTGGGGGGAGCCCCCCACTCATGGCCTCCTTTGGCACCAGTACAGATAGCCCATCACAGTCCTACATTTCCAGAAACCCCAGATGGCCCATAGCTCCATCCCTTTGCCCCTGGTTTCCAAAAATTCGACAGAGAATCCTTGGAGCAGGGCAGAACCTAATGCAGATTTTTAAACTGATAGTGTTTTGCTTTAAGATCCACTTGTTTTTTCAAGGGAGCTCTGCTTTTCTCAGAAGGACCATATAATTTTGGGGGGGGGAGTTTGCAAAGATTTGAGAGGGCTGACCATTTTTCATCTTTAAAAGAAAAAAAAAACCATGTTGAGTCCTGTCATGTCTGGCCACAGTAACACCTTCACAGAGACCCGTGTGTGAATTCCGAGTGTCCACCCTACTCACAGGGTTCCACACCCATCACTTCCAGACACACACCCTACACTCCCACAAAAACACGACTCAGGTACCCCGAATTAAGAATGCTCATTCTATTCTGTTGCTTGTAATGGTTTTCTTACAGAGCAGATTTTTCAAAAACAGTAACTTCTCACTCCAAGTTGTTTTAGGTGAAAAACATCTCGCTTGGTATGAAATAATCTTCTCCCATCCTGCCGGCTTTTGGCCTTAGACATAGCGAAAGAGACTGGAGTGGAGGCGGGTGGTTTCCAGTTTAGAGGCCAGGGGAGCCGGGCGCGGGTCTGACTGGTTCGGCTGCCAGGATCCTGGCTCACCGGCGCCCGGCCATTTCTACCCGCAGGTGCTGTGTATGGGAGTCACGGGCGCCGAGGCCGCCAGACCTACACGCGCTACCAGACGCTGGAGCTGGAGAAGGAGTTCCACTTCAACCGCTACCTGACGCGGCGCCGCCGCATCGAGATCGCCAACGCGCTCTGCCTCACCGAGCGCCAGATCAAGATCTGGTTCCAGAACCGCCGCATGAAGTGGAAAAAGGAAAATAAACTCATCAACTCCACACAGCCCAGCGGGGAGGAGGCTGAGGCAAAGGCGGGCGAGTAGACGCCTGGGCAGGGACCAGGCCAGCGCCGCAACCTCCCTCGGCTTTGCCCCCTTGCCTTCGCCTGCTCCCCAACTTTCCTCCCCCGCCTGCTCCCATCCGGGGGGCCTCTGCAGCTTCAGGGGAGCCGGGAGCTTTGCAAACGCCTGAGCATTTATTTCTTACCAAAAAAAAAAAAAAAAAAAAATCCTACACACAGCCAATCCCAGCGGTGGAGCGGGGCGCACTGCACATACAGTCCCGCTCTCCAAGGCTGCCCTAGCCGGCTCCGGATCCCAGGGCGCGCCCCGAATTCGTCCCCGGCTCTTGTGCTAGCGCCTTTGCGTGCCCCTGAGCTCGGGACGCGGGGGTGCTGGAGAGGAAAGAACCTGGGCCGAGCCCCTTTTGGTGTCTGGGCGTTTTCGCCCCTTTCCCTCGCCACCAAGTCCCGGACGTCACCACCAAATCGACTCAGGCCACTGGAAAGAGGGGGCCTAAAGGCTGGGGCCCCAGCACTGCGGTGGCATCCAAGGCCGCTCCTAGACAGGAAGAAGCGTGAGGAACAAAGGGGGCCCTGAGACAGCCTAGTCTCTCGGCCCCGCGCGCAACCGTCCGTGGAAGAGAAGCAGCCTCAGCCGAGCGGATCCAACCTGGGCGCGGGTGGAACTTCACAGCCCCCGGAGAGACTGGGCTCCCGAAGACTCCAGCTCCGGATCCCGGATCCCGGATCCCCGCCTCCGATAATGCCTGCGCTGCTACCAGAGTAGCTTTCAGGACCTAAGGAGGGGGCTCAAGGCCATGGGAACGGCAAGAGTCCTGGTTTCCAAATGTGCCAGGGGTGACTGGAACGCTCAGCCTCCAGCGGGAAGTACCCCTCATGCCTTTCGGCTTTATTTGTGATTTACTTTCGTCTTTCAGGACCCAGGAAAATAACTACGAAGATACTAGGCACTGCCACGAAATGCTTCCATTAGCACCCTCATTTTGCTCCTGGAGGTCTAAGCAAGACCCTAATAATTCGGCCCAAGGATCCTCAGGCTCCAAGCAGCTTCTGTGGCTGCGGGGAGTCTGGGCCCACTCGCTGGGTTCAGGGAGAACCCTCCAACTTGGGGCCCGGCTGCCTCGAGGAAAGGGACCTGGTGGTGAAGATTCTCCAGATTGGATACTTAAAGCAAATCAAATAGCGAACTAATGACACGAAAACCATATTTACACGAAAGAAAAATCGACTCCGGTTATAAAAGTGTATGGAATTTGACCTCGCCTCGGAGAAACACTACACAAAAGCTATCTTTAATAGACGCCTGTCATTTAAGAGCGGCAGGGACACTGTCCCTCATGCACTCACAGAAAAACAGAGCCGTAATTGTAGCTGCTGCTGCGGGCAGGATTTATTTCTCCAATTGGCTAAACGGCCTCCCCCCTTCCCCGAAGGTGATATCTGTATTTTCAAATTTCAGAGCTGCCGGCACGACGGGCAGAACCGACCCCAACCTCGACACAAAAATAAGAGGGGCTGCACAGCGGGGAAATAAAGTTGTTGTAAATAAAATCCAAGTCACCATCTCCCCCCAATCCTCTGCATCCTCGCCGGGCGCGCGATCGGCAGCTGACGGCCTCACAATTGGTACATCCTAATGGAACTGCGAGGGAAATGCAATAATTTTGCCGTAATGGGCTGTAACCTCAATTCGACCCCGGCCCTTGCAGCCCTGGGTCGGAAGCGGAGCGATGCGCCCTGCCTCCAGCGGGTGGCGCTCGAGTCCGACTGAACGGCGGCGGCGGGTGGCGGGCACGCGCCTAGGGCGCGCGCGCCACCCCTCTCGCCTCCACCCAACTCCCCCATTAGTGCACGAGTTTACCTCTAGAGGTCATCAGGCAGGATTTACGACTGGACAACAAAAGCACGTGATTCGAAGTCGTACCCCATATTTGGGTGCCTACGTAGGAGGGAACCAAGTACATGTCCCAGTCATTTCCATAATTCATCATAAATTGTGCAAGGGTGCTATAGACGCACAAACGACCGCGAGCCACAAATCAAGCACACATATCAAAAAACAAATGAGCTCTTATTTTGTAAACTCATTTTGCGGTCGCTATCCAAATGGCCCGGACTACCAGTTGCATAATTATGGAGATCATAGTTCCGTGAGCGAGCAATTCAGGGACTCGGCGAGCATGCACTCCGGCAGGTACGGCTACGGCTACAATGGCATGGATCTCAGCGTCGGCCGCTCAGGCTCCGGCCACTTTGGCTCCGGGGAGCGCGCCCGCAGCTACGCGGCCGGCGCCAGCGCGGCGCCTGCCGAGCCCAGGTACAGCCAGCCGGCCACGTCCACGCACTCGCCTCCGCCCGACCCGCTGCCCTGCTCCGCCGTGGCCCCCTCGCCCGGCAGCGACAGCCACCACGGCGGGAAAAACTCCCTGGGCAACTCCAGCGGCGCCTCGGCCAACGCCGGCAGCACCCACATCAGCAGCAGAGAGGGGGTTGGCACGGCGTCCGGAGCCGAGGAGGACGCCCCCGCCAGCAGCGAGCAGGCGAGCGCGCAGAGCGAGCCGAGCCCGGCGCCGCCCGCCCAACCCCAGATCTACCCCTGGATGCGCAAGCTGCACATAAGTCATGGTAAAGCCAGCCTTTCTCTAAATCCACGCGGCTGCGGGGGGCGCGGCTCTCGGTCCCCCTTCTCTTCTTTACCGCCCTCTCTCCCCATCTCTCTCCTGGTCTCGCCTCTCCCAGCCCTGTGGAGTCTCTCCCCGCCGTTCTCCTTCCCCTGCCTTCCTCCTTTCACCTTCTCGTCTCTGCAGTGCCCAACGCTCGCAAATGGGAGGAGGGGGTAGAAGAAGGGCCGCTGGCCAGGCAAGTTTAGATGTTGAAACCGGGGGAAAAGGAAAAATCCCATATCGAACCCCAGCGCCTCGGAACGCGCTCCCGGGTCAGGCCAGCCGAGCAGGGCGCAGAGAGGTAGAGGATGGCAGTAGGGGCCGTGAATCGGGCTTGTCAGGGCGGATAATTTATGAGGAGGGCTACGCTGGGGAAACAGCGTTACTAATTAGAGTCCCCGAAAAGGGGCTTGGGGGGGAATAATCGAGGCGAGAGCCGGCAGGATTCTGAAGTTTGGGAGCAGAAGGGACAGCAGGAAAGGGAAGAAAAAGAAAGCAGGCGCCCCAAGCGTGCAGGCTGGAACAGAAGGCGGCTCGCGGGGCTGGAACTTTAAGGGAGGGTGACCTGGAGGCCACTTGGGCGCTCAGGAAAGGGCCTTGCTTCCGTGGGTTTCTGAGAGGTGGGCTGCCTGGGAGGGCTGTGCCCCGCCTCAGGACGCCAGGGGCAGGGCCAGAGGGCAGGAGAGGGGTGAAGGAAAGCCGGGCGATCCTCCGGGACGCGCGGCTCCAGCCTCAGATGGGCCGATTGTTCCCAGAGTCCAAATTGTATTGTTTTCTCTCTAGAAAGGAAGAGGGAAGGAAATTCTGGAGGGGTGGGCGGGCGAGGAGAGAGGACTTGTTGAGCTTTTCTCCCCTGTTCCCTGCTCAGGACCCTAGCTCGACTTGGGTAACCAGGGACTGAGGAGTTGGTGGCTAAATCGCCGACTTTTCTGTTGCAGACAACATAGGCGGCCCGGAAGGCAAAAGGGCCCGGACGGCCTACACGCGCTACCAGACCCTGGAGCTGGAGAAGGAGTTCCACTTCAACCGCTACCTGACCCGCCGAAGAAGGATTGAAATAGCACATGCTCTTTGCCTCTCCGAGAGACAAATTAAAATCTGGTTCCAAAACCGGAGAATGAAGTGGAAAAAAGATAATAAGCTGAAAAGCATGAGCATGGCGGCGGCGGGAGGGGCCTTCCGCCCCTGAGTATTTGAGCGTTTAAAGTACTGAGCAGTATTAGCGGATCCCGCGTAGTGTCAGTACTAAGGTGACTTTCTGAAACTCCCTTGTGTTCCTTCTGTGAAGAAGCCCTGTTCTCGTTGCCCTAATTCATCTTTTAATCATGAGCCTGTTTATTGCCATTATAGCGCCTGTATAAGTAGATCTGCTTTCTGTTCATCTCTTTGTCCTGAATGGCTTTGTCTTGAAAAAAAAAAAAATAGATGTTTTAACTTATTTATATGAAGCAAGCTGTGTTACTTGAAGTAACTATAACAAAAAAGAGAAAAAAAACACACAAAAATGTCCCCCTTCAACCTCGTTTAGTGCCAATGTTGTGTGTTGCACTCCAGTTGTTTAACTGTGCATGTGAGTGGAAGTGTTCCTGTCTCAATAGCTCCAAGCTGTTAAAGATATTTTTATTCAAACTACCTATATTCCTTGTGTAATTAATGCTGTTGTAGAGGTGACTTGATGAGACACAACTTAACTTGTTTGACGTGTAGTGACTAGTGGCTCTGTGACGAAAACTGTGACTCCGAGCGGTGTGTCCCTGCGTGCCTTTGTAGGACCCTTTGCACGAACTCTGGAAGTGGCTCTCATAAGCTCAGCTTCAGTGATGTATGTTTTTGTGAACAAAGTTACAAATATTGTCCGAGTCTGGCTGTTTAAGCAAACTGTGATCAGCTTTTTTTTTTTTTTTTTTTTTGTATTTGTTTTTAAGGAAAAAATACTGACTGGAAACAAAAAAATAAACTTTCTATTGTAAGTTCTCTTGGTCTGGTTTGTGCCAAAGTAGCAAGCGGCTCTTTCTGCTCTTCTGTCTGTCCAGTGCTGGAAGGCAGTGAGTCTGAGGCTACCTGAGCAGCCTGCCTTGCGCAAGGAGACCTCAGACCAACACCCTGACCCGCGACCTCCCTAGCTCTGACCCATCAGAGTTCAGGGCAGAAGGTGGAAAAGCTGTAGGTGGTTCCAAAGCCTGAGTCCAACCTGCCCATCTCTGAGGAAACCAAGATAACTTGCTGGGTACAAAAAAAAAAGAGGAAGAGAGAGAAAGGAGCAAAAGCACAGGGCTTTGTTAGCAGCCCTCAGGGCCCACACAGATGCTGCCTCTTCCCTAAGGTCATCCTAGGCCTCCACTTGCTGAAGAGGCTGCTGCGCCAGGTTGTGGCTCCCAAACCCTCTTCCCCTAACCCACCCAGGCACCCCTTCCCATTCCTCACCCTGAGCCCAGTTGGCTTCTTTTGCTACAATTAATTCGCTACAAATGGAAGGTACTTACCCCATCCTAGCTCGATTGGGAAACTCCTCAGAGCAGCTAAAGCGCAACTAGAGATTTGCACATTTACCGACTGCTTACACTGATGCCGTCTTTCCTTTTAAAAGTTATAAAACAGTAAACTTTATAAGCCCCAGTTCCGGCTATATGACATTTGGGTGCCAAATGAATAGGGTTTTGTCTATGAATTAGATCGTAAAATCATCCATAGCACAGACAGATCGGCTCACTGGCTATAAAACGTCACGTGGGGCCATTAAAGTAAGTTTTATGGTTTTGGGGAGTTGACATCCAACATTATATACCACATAACATATAATCTCACTGACGCTGGACTCCATTTGACTCTTTTGCAGGCTACGTGTGCCGCCCGGTCATTCAAATTGTCAATTTTAGGTCCAGAAGTGTCCAAACCACAAGTTCTCAAAACTCTCTGAAAAATGGCTCCCTCCGAGTTAAGGTAAGCTCGCCTCCTGAGCGCTTTCAAGTTTATTTGTACTCTGGAAAACTTTCTTCCTCTCTCTCTCTCTCTCTCTCTGGTTCAATAACTCTGAGGTTGCCTCTGAATTCAAAAGGGCAGAGCCAACTTTTCCTCTGCCCACATTAGCAGCGCCAGGAGCCAGCTCTGCGGAGGCACCCCGGTGAAAAGCGCCTGTGGCCGCCGCGTCCCCAGGCCTAACTTTAATTGCTGCACAACCGCGAATGTTAATGACTTCCGCTGCTCTCGCCGGCGTGCAAAAGATGATTTTTGTGTTCGAATGGGCCTGTGTGCGGAGACTTGGCAAGGCCGCCCCCCATTCCGGGGCTGGCGGGGCTGGCTCGGCTGGCTCGTCGAGGGGTAGCGGAGCCCTAGGGTGGGGGCTGGGAGACTGTGGGGCGCCGGGCCGCGGGCGCCGAGGGCCGCACTGCGCTGCGGAGTGCTTGGAGTTTGAAAGAAAGGCCCAGGCAGGGCCGAGGCGGACTCTGGCGGGATTCCTTACGGGGCTGTGGCAATATGTCTTCGCGGGCCGGGGTCATTTGGCAGCACTGAATTGAGACGGCTGCCTTCGGGGCCGAGTTTCAGGCTGGCTCGTGAGCGAGCCGGAGGGTGGCAGAGGCCGGCGAGGCGCGGGCCGCACCTCCAGGCTGGGCCCCTGGGTTGCCAGGCCGAGCCCAGGACTGTGGGGACGGCGGGTCCCCACCTGGGGGGAGGGCTCACCATCCCCTCCCCCCGCACCCGGGACCAGGCCCTGAACCTTGTTTGCCTGCACGTTCTTTTTATTTCGGTGGGACTGTTCTCACCCGCCTGTGAGTCTGAAGCAATAAACTTTATGGCCGGATTTAACTTTAGTCTTTGAATCCCCAGGCTAAATGAAAGGAGTTAAAGCGCTTTCTTTTCTTCCGCCTTCCCTTTCTTCTCCCTCTCTTCGTTCCTTTTCCTCTCCTCCTTTGTAGAATTAAGACCTGCAGGCACAGGACGCTCAAAAGGCAACTTAGGGATCCCCTTAGGTAACACTAAAGATTAGAGACATTTACTCCCCCTCAACATACAGGCAAATTCTGTCTTCCAAACTGTGCCCTAAAGTTTGGGGGGAAGTCAAGGTGTCTTCAATGCCCAACTTAAAAGTCCCCAGAGCCATTAGGTTGTTTTTCCTGACACGTCATAAAGGATAGTTTAGGGAAGAAATCGGTCGTTTGTCAGTAGGAGATTTCCGCCTTTCTTTTGTTAGCTGCTCTTTCTGTTTGATCCCAGGAAATTTACATAATCTATGATTTCCAAAACAGTTCCCAATATTGCACCTACAATGAAGTAAGGTGAAATAAATTTTTCCTGGGTACAATTCCAACTTGGCCTCAGCCACCATCCCCTCTGGCCCCAAACCCTCACATTCTTCAGTGGCAAAGTGACTGGGGATGCTGTGGCCTGTCCAGGGGTCTTTTTCTGGATGGGTACCCACAAGGGACCTAGCAGATTTCCCACACTCCCTCTGAAGAATTAGACCAAATTCTCCAGCTCAGAAATGAAATAAAAAAAAAAGAAATAGGACCTTCTGTCGCCAAATGCTTTTCTCCTTAGGAGCTAGATAGTATTCTGCAAGTGCTCATTGGTAAAGATATTTACTGAGTGCTTAAAGTGAAAAAAGAAATTAAGGTATAGTTTTGGAATTTCAACAAACTTTATTGTGCAGAGGCCACTTAAACTCAGCATAGGTCCAACAGTTGTCCCCAAAGTCAGAGGTCCAAAAAACAAACCTGGGAAGTTTTTCGAAAAATCAAAACCCTCCCACAAGTCCCACTTCTCTGAAACAGTGGCAAGGCAAATCCCTGAAGTCATCCTGCGTGACCTATTAAAGTACTGATATTTCAGCACTCAGGAAGATGTGTCCGCATCTTAGTGGGAACCAGAATATAAACTCTATTTGGGTTCTCTTTTGTCATTTTGTGTGTCTGTGAGAATTCTGGAGTCTGTTTTGCTGCTCTGACTTTTGAGTTCTTTACTGGAAAATATTGGGTTAAGTTTTTATTTTAGTTACTCATTTGGTGATCTTGCTTTAGTGATTTCTTGGTGACTAAAATTAGTAGCAGGGAAAAAAAGAGCGATAGGGCTTCTGGCAGGTTCACTTGAGTAACTTGCCCGGAGGAAGCGTCCACACCACGTCCGTGGCCACATCCCACCCTGGGTGTGGGAATGGGCAGAAAGGCTGTTGGACCGATATCCAGCATTACCCAATGTAGAGAATCTTTTCCATGAACTAAAAAAAAAAAAATACAGGCTATATATATTTTATCAGCTTGCTTATTTCTGTCTGTTGTAATCTTTGTGAAAGTTCAGAGTTCCTAAGAGAGCAGGTTAACTCACAAGGAGTTAAATGACTTTTTAAAAATACAGCATCCAGTCAGACCAATGTGAGCGTTATTGGAGACATTTTTTTCTTCCTATTTTCATAGGAAGCATAGTAAAGAGGATGGCTGGTTATCTGCTCATTTTGTAGATAAGTTATTTCTTCTTGTTCATTCTTTGGTGGAGTTTTTGCAGAGGAACTTACTTAGAAAAAAATCTCTGTCATTAAGGGCTTTATGAAGACATCCAGCCTCAGCTGGTGGCAGGAGTGTCTGTGCTCCTCATGTTGTAAAAGGAGAAGGTGTCCAGTATGTGCAGGGCCTCGTTTGTTTCTACAAGCTGAAGAGACAATATTTCCTGAACTATAAATATAATAGGAAGCTTCTAGTCACAATTACTTAGGGGTTTGTTAGGGTTTCCATGGTCTAATTTCACAACATTATGCTGATATGCATATATTCCTTTTCTCCTGCTCTTTCCCCTGCTTCATTGTTGGCGGCTCTGGGAGAGCAGGACAGAATTCTCTACCAGAAATAGAGTCATGTTCGTTTGTTGAGATGTGAAGAGTATTATATCCAAGCAATTAGTGAGGGGAGAGCAAATTACATCCTGAAAGATGGGCTATTAAAGAGGAAAACAATCCTTTTAGCTTAAAAGATGCCCTTCGAAGCCTTTCCCCTGCCTTAGCTCGGGAGTCTGTCTGAGGTTTGCCCACCATGGAGAGTGCAGAATGTTGTGGGCTCCATCCCTTTGGCTTCTAAGGCAGAATTTCTTTCTAGTCAGTGACAAAACTATAAACGGGGCTTCCAGACAAGGCTGAGGGGGTCAGCCGAGGTTCCCACCCACATAGGAGAGGGGAAGCACAGTCCTGGCCATTGTAAACCCCAGAACTGGAAGGTCTGCCTAGGTCTGTTTTGTTTGGTGGTTTTCACAAAGAAAGCTGTCCTTCTTCCACCAGGTCCCCTCCCCACAAACCGGTCTTTTCAATAATAATATTTGTTATGAAGGTTATTGGGTAATTATTGCGATTTTGTGAAGCAGCCCTTGCTGGAGGTGAAGTCTGTCATCGCCTAACAAATGACGCCCGTGCAGTTCACTGCCGGGTTAAGTAAATGCAGAGAAGATAAATCTGCACACCCTAGGAATCGCCAGCAGAGCACGCTTTAGTACAAGTTCACAGTCAACTCGCCTGCCTGGGCCAGCTCTCCCAACAATTAGGGCTGCATCTTTATTTTTAAATAAAGAAAAAAAAAATGTCTCCAACTCCCACTGCCTGCTTTCTCCCTGTCTTCTTTTTTCTTTCACTTTTTTTTTTTTTGAGATTCCATCCTCCTATTCCAGATTTTCCCTGTAAATGTGATGATGAGTGATTTTAAAAATAATCTCCCTCCTATTTAAGTGCTGACAAAAAGAGGTAGGAGGCTGGTTTGACAGGAAATACCGTCACAAACACCCAAGAATATCCAATTCACCCTCTTAATCCAAAAGGCAGTGGCAGAAGCAGGGTGTCCCTGAGATCCTGGGGGGCCCCTTCCCCCTGAAAGAAGAGGCACAGCTTTGTGTATCTTTGTGGCTAGTGCGTTGCAACTGCGGGTCAAAAAGTTGAGGGTCAAAAGTTTATGTTGTACAGCACTCTTAGTCATCTGCCCAGACAGAGTTTGATGTCAATGTTAGAGCTGCGATCTTGACTATCAGCACAAAAGATAAAATGGCTCGGAGTGACGCGTGTATCATGGTATGGACTCCAGGTGAACCCTAGTGGTTGAATGACCTCAATTACGGAGGAAAGGATAGAAAATTCCTCTTTTCAAGAGTAATACATGCTGTATTTCATCTTGAATTATCGCTCCCATTCTGAGGGAATAGCAGCAGGTAAATAGGCATAGATTACTGAAACACCAACACCTTAGATGTTGGAGAACCAGGAGTCTGTGGGTTTGTCACAAAATTAAGAAGCTCAAAACTCATCAGTGGACCTTTAAGAAATAATGTAGCAAGTTTTCAAGGTATCATCATATCTTCAGAGGCAAGAGAACCCAGCAGGACACTTCCTTTAGTTGAAAATTGTTATTTTGATTGGACAGTTTCTTTTTCTTTTTCACACATATAATGATTCCTCAAGTTTGTGAGAACAAGGGCAGGCACAGGCACTTCTCACAAAATGTATTCTTTGCAATTTTCAAACACAGAATGGTTTTTCTGCAACCTCTACCCACTAAATGCAAAGAGTTCTCAGAGCTGGGAAGGGAAGGAAGGAAGTGGAAATGCTCCCGCAAGGGCAGGATTCTTCCACACTCCACCAGGGACAAAATGCTTATTGGTACCATGAAAATGTTCCTGTTGTTGGAAAATTTTCACTATGTTTGTTGTTAACCCAAAACCAAATGTAAGAGAAATGCTACAATCTGTAAGTGGATAACTAAACTGAAAAGAATATGCCATTTGAACAGGAAAATGGAATCCACAAATGCCAGACCATTTCGTTAAGACCACCGTGAGGAACTTCTCTTCTCCAGAAAATACTCTTTAAAAATACATTTGGAATAAAAGCTAAGGAGAGGGGAAGCAAGCTCAGGAGGAAGGGTGGGAGAGTAGAAAAGAAAGGGAATAGTGTGTTGAGGAAGTCAACTGGAACCATGCCTCATGTGTGAGTTGCAACTGGAGAACTAAACAATATTTTATTTTTCATGCACCTATGTTAGCTGTAAATGTTGGTGCCATTAGAATCTGTTTTCTGTTTTCTATTGTCCTCTTCTATGTACTGATCTTCAAGTAATCAGAGTAGGAAAACAGAAGAGAAAAATGAATTTTTTTTCTACGTTTTCCCTTTTAACTTTAGAGATGAGTTAATTCAACTACTCAGAAGGTGGACTCTTGCAGGGATATTTAAGATCATCCCAATATATTCTGGTTGATTGGATTTGCTGGTGCCAGGTACGTTTAGTGGTAAAGTAAATATTTCCTAAGCACTGCCTTCATGGAAGTAATCAGATTGCTTCCACTGTGCAATGTGTAAAGTTTTCACTCTGGCCAAGAGCTTGAAGCCAAATGGGGGTGTGCCAGATGAAAATAGACGAAAGGAAACAACCGTGGTGATTGCTGTTATAGCAATGAACACTTCACCACATCTGGGCTAGTGAAATGAAGAAAACTGAAACCCCCTCTATTACTCACCAAGACAATTATGTGTCTCTTCAAGAAAACCTTGTTATCGTATTATTGGTTAAAAACGTGCCACACCTTAGAAGCATATCAACTTCAATAAGCATAGACACCCCTGAGCCAGTTTTAAAGTTAAAAGAAAAAAAAAAAGTACCTGCAGAAGTTATTGCTTTTAGAGTACCTACTTTTTTATTTGGAGGATTTTTATCTTTAGGCCTCTCACACAATTCAGGTTAAAATTCATGTTTAATCCAGATACACATTTCAATCCTTATGTGTGGGTTGTGTGCACTATTATAAACTACTACAAGGAAACTGCTCCTTGGCCGAATGGCTGAAACAGTATTGCTTCCCTAAAATCATATGCCTCGTGTAGGTATCGGGGAAGTCCTCAAATGCCACCATCAGGCATTTTGAAATTCAGCTATTCCCGTGTGCGCTCCAGAGACTTGCTTCAGACAGAGAACAGTCTGGAGAACTCTCTCGCTCTAAAGAACAAAGGACAAATACAGTCAATACATTCCATAACGTTTACATTTCCTTTGCTTTTCCCCTTGGTTTTCCCTGAGAAGGAGTGACCTGGGCAAAGCACCCTGCTCTCTAAAAGACACTGTATAGACCTTTTAGAAGCGCAAAGTCCAAGGCCGAGGTGAACTTCAGGTCAGCGCGTCTAACAAATATGAAAATGTCGGCTAGTGAAGGGCGCGCCTTGTGATTTAACAAAGACTGTCAATGTGTAAGATTAATAAGAAACAAAATGCGCACGGTGTCACTGTTCGGTCACTTTGAAACTTGGGACAGGGTTGCATTCAAGAGGGGAGGCTGTTCCAAATATATTCAAAATGATTCAAATCAGATTCAAACGAGGCTGGAAACACTGCCTCTCTCTCGCCCTCCCTCTCCCTTAGACTCCCTTCGCTCTCCTTTTCCATCTGGGATTCCAGGACATGATGAAAAGTTATTTCACTTAATGGGATTTTAAGAAAGCTTTTGTTGGGAATATATGTTATCTCTGCACGTGGAAATGAGCAAATGCGCTCACCAGTTTCCCAAGAAAAGGATAACGCTTTCACCCTGCTAGGGACTGGAGCCAGTTGGTGTGCGAAGATTAGCACGCTCCCTCTCTGCTTGATTTCAGGGCATCCCATCTTTTCTCGGGCGAGATGCTGCTGGTAAACTTCAGCTTATTTATTAATTGAGTTAGTCTCTTCCTGGCTTTACTTTGGTGTGTTGGATCTTATGTAAAGGCAAGAGGTTTTGGGTGGTTTTTTTTTTTTTTTTTAAAGCATTTTTCAAAAGATTATTTGATTCAATGGAATGATGCTATGGCTTGCAAAGAGAGATTGTGGAAGGATCAGAAAAGGTACTGAGATTGTTTATTACAGCCATAAATCTTGCAGTAAAATGTCAAAATGTCGGTGTGTGAGATAACACTTGGTGGTCCTGGCTCCGTTTGTGTTTATGATAGGAACCACAAAGACAAGTTACAGGCCTTGGGGGATTCTGTGTAAGCCCATCTTCCTAAAGTAATAGAACCACATGAAACACAGGCACAGTTAACTCGTTTAGGTTAACCATATACAAAACAGTGCCTGTGCCTCGTTAATACTTTAAAATAGAAACTCAGTAGAAGGTTCTGAGGCTAAACAACATGAATTTTGTGTTTTAGTGTCTGTAAATAATATTAAACAGATGTAGTTAAGACCCTAGTACTTAAGGCTGACATGAGGGGGGCAAAATTTCCTTGTCATGTTTTTTTCTCCCCCTGAAGCTTAGAAAGCCACGTTTTGTAAATTACATTATGTATGTATATATTGTTCATATAAAATAGCATATAAAATATGTATCTATTATTTTTTCTTGCTGTAGAGAAATACTGGTTTAGGTAGCTGTATCACAGGCTAGATTTCCCCCCAACTCTAGAGAGGATGTCTAAAGATTACACTCAGCGTTGATTTCTGTCTGTGGATCAGATTTCATTAAAAAAAAATTCAGGGTGCCCCGTGTCGATGGACGGCACTCTTCAGAGACACACTTCCAATGTGGAAAGCCTCTTTGTACTACTTCAGGGTGATTCCAGTTGGAAAGCTAACATGATCCCTTTTTTAACCTCTTTTCCTAAATTAGTTTAAAGATTAGTCCCATATAATAGGCTTTATGTGGCTAAGCATTAAATGACTATCCATCAAATGGATATATTCCAGCATTTAGTAACTCATATGAGTAAGCGATATAAATGAAGATAGAATTGACATTCCTTTTGAAGTGTCTCCAGGCTTAGGCTATAACTTTCCTTGTCTGCAGTCCAGACTCAGTTGTGAGAAGGCTGTTTATACTGCTCTTTGAAAATTCAACTAAGGTGCACCAGCTGAAAAATCCTTGCTTTGCATGCCAATATGAAAGTATTTTTAGCATGGTGACAATGCTAGTTTGCTCTGCTTTCATCTAGGCTGAAAAGTATAGAGGATCCAGGTGTGTCTGTTACTCAGAAAATGGAAGGGAAAGTACACACTACTACGAGTAAAGCATCAGTATTTACTTCAAAGATCAACATTAGGTGGAATTAATATGTAATTTATTTGTTAATAATGGCGTAATTAGTTTACCCATCAAATTTCAATTACCAAATGGCAGGCAACAGTCCTCTCTCCCCGCTTTCCAGAGCTGCTATCGTTAATATGCTAATTTTCAGCAATTCAGAAATTATAGACTATCCTGTAAATATAACTTTAGCCTCAAATACAGCCTGAGAAAGCAGCCTCCAAAGGACAAAATATAGGATTCTTAGCGCGAAAAGACCCGTCAGAGATCAGACTGGGCACAGTGCCTATTCCGTCCTTAGCTTGTTTTTGTTTGGGGATTGTTTTGAAATAGGAAGTTGTTGGTTTCAAAGCTCGATTTTGTGGAGGCGTCGCTGCTACCTATTCCCACCCTTGGGCTACCTTTTCTCTCACAGTCGCACCTAGTAAAGGCAAGCGTGTTTAACTCTCACATCGACACCTCCATCAAACGAGATGCTATTAGAAAGGTTTTGATTTTTCTTAGGAAATAATCGAATAGATTCTGTCTCTAAAAGGAAGAAAAAATGAAAAGTGCCCATCGGTTATATTGGAATGGCCTTGCTTTACATCCTCGGGCCGATTTCTCTCAGCTATTCACCCACCCACCCTTTGCGGCTCCGGCCGGGCTTCTCAACGCAGGGTATATCTGGCGCACGATGTGGGGAAGAGGATCAGTTGGTGAAAAAAATGGGTCTGTTGGCCTTATTCGTTTTATTCCGGGGCCAGGATTAAAACTAGGATACCTCCAAGGTCTCGACGCCATTCCCTTCCCCCGCCGGCCTCGAACCCTGGAAAACGCCAGGCCAGGCTAGGCTGGGCCCGAGGTCAGCGCTGGGCCGCTGTCACGCGGCTGCCCCGAGGCCTACGCCAGGAGTATGGCACGAAAAGGGCCCGGCCTGGGCGTCCAAGAGGACCAGAAGCACTGGCGGGCCCCGCTTCCCAGCAGGACTCAAAGTTCGGGGGTTGGGGGGACCAAAGCTCCAGCTCCCTCCCTCCGCCGGAGGCCGGACAGCGGCATCCATCACCCACCCGCGCGCTTCCTGATCCGGGTCCGCGCGCGCGGCGCGCCCATTGGCGGGGGCTGGTCACGTGGTGGGTACTGGGCGGGGGCGCGCGCGCGGGACCGAGACGAGCGCGCGCGCGAGCGGGCGGGGGGGAGGAGCGGCGCGAACTTTGGTGGCGTTGGCGGCGGCGGGAGGGGGAGGGGTGGGCGCTTGACAGCGGGGGAGGGGAAGGGAGCAGAGGAAAGGGGGGATGGGAAGCGAGGCAGGAGGGGGAGGGGCCTCGGCGAGCCCAGAAAAACGACAACGCGAGAAAAATTAGTATTTTTGCACTTCACAAATTAATGACCATGAGCTCGTTTTTGATAAACTCCAACTACATCGAGCCCAAGTTCCCTCCCTTTGAGGAGTACGCGCAGCACAGCGGCCCGGGCGGCGGAGACGGCGGCCCAGGCGGGGGCCCCAGCTACCAGCAGCCTCCAGCGCCCGCGGCCCAGCACCTGCCGGCGCAGCAGCCCCAGCTCCCCCACGCGGGCAACAGCCGCGAGCCCCCCGCCTCCTACTACGCGCCACGGGCTGCCCGCGAGCCCTCCTACCCTGCGGCCGCGCTCTACCCCGCGCACGGTGCCGCCGACGCCGCCTACCCCTATGGCTACCGCGGTGGCGCCAGCCCGGGGCGGCAGCCACAGCCCGAGCAGCCCCCGGCGCGAGCCAAGGGTCCCGTGCACGGCCTGCACGCGAGCCACGTCCTGCCGCCCGGGCGGCAGCCCCCGCCGCCGCCTCCCCCGCAGCATCGCGCGGCGCCCCCGGCACCCCCGCGGCGTTGCGAGGCGGCTCCAGCCACCCCGGGCGTCCCGGCAGGGGGCAGCGCCCCCGCGTGCCCGCTGCTCCTGGCCGACAAGAGCCCGCCGGGCCTGAAGGGCAAAGAGCCTGTGGTGTACCCCTGGATGAAGAAGATCCATGTCAGCGCCGGTACGTGGCGCCGCTGGGGAGGCGCGGGAGGGTGGGCTGGGGCCGGGCCGGGGTTCGGGGGTCGGGGCGAGGGTCAGAAGAAGAGGCTGAGGGGGAAGGGGGCCTCTGGAGGGGAGCCCCCATCTGGCCCGAGCTACAGTGGGATGTGGGTGTGTGCGCGCCAGCCAGCCGCCTGATCCTAACGTGAGAACCCTTTTGTACCCGGGGTCCCTTTATCGAGAGATTTACGAGACGCCAAACTGTTAGGGCAGTAATTATAGCCCCCATAAATTTAATTGCCCTGGCAGAGGCTTCAGGCCATGTGTCTTTGAAGCTTTTCTTCAGCCCCAATGCCCAGCACCATTCTTTATGGCTCTCGGGTGTTTCCCGTTGTCAATAGCCTGTGAAACATTTTCTTTGCCGTTTTATGTATCTTGCGTGAACTTGGTGTCAGGTTATTATATAATGATGATGTCCAATTGCTCTTCCCCACCCCACCTTCTCTCTCCTCCTCCTTTCCCTCTCTTCCACTCCCTCCTCC